TATATATATATATTATTGTGTTAGTAATAATCTATTATACATAGTTTTGAGCAAATTGCAAAGTTTGGGACTTTGAAAAATGTTGACGAACATCTTTAAATCTTTTGTTTTCTTTATGTTCTTTCCATTTATTGATTGAAAAGATCAATTTTATTTTTTTCTTAATTAATCTTTCATTTTTTAATAATCCGAAAATTCACATAATCTTTAAATCGACTATATCTCTCAAGTTCGACTGAATACCCTTTCCATATTTGGATTCAATCCCGAGTAAGATAATATTTTGTATATTTTTTTTTAATCATTAGACCAACTAAATTTGGGTACTACTCATCTTGCAAGTTATAAGATCCAACTCATCGTCATTTTCTTCTCCTCTTTTCTCGTTCTTTTTCTTTCTTCTTTCTCGAGATAGATACCCGATAAAGATGATTCCGAAGAAGCAAAGCTTGAAACCGTAGAGTATTACAAGTCGGGATTCGTTTTCGATATCGTTTTATTTCCTTTTGCATTCGAGTTAGACGGTCTATACGATCCATAAAGGGTGATCTAAACAATCATTCATTATGGGCAATCTTGATGGTAACTAATCTCGGAAATCTAACAAGTGATGTAAAATAGTGTAACTAAATTCTCATTTCAAATGCATGAGAGAATCCTTATTAGTAGGATCCAAATCTAGAAATTTTTGAAATCTCAAAGTTTATTAATAACCGAATCGATCTGAACAGAGAAATACATAAACCAAATCCGATATAATTAAAAACCGAATAGATATGGTTTACCTAGAACTATAAAACCAAACCAAACCAAACCGAAATCTAAACCAATTCAAAAATTGTGGGGTGGGTTTTAAATAGGAGAGAGAGTGAGAGAAAGAGAAATCCAGGAAGAGAAGGTACAGATAACAACATAGTAGATGAGGTTCTGAATCACTAAGTTTCCTACTCTACAGACTCAACACTTAGACTCTAAACCATCCAATTCCAATGTCTGAAAGAACCAAAAACAAGAAAAACAAAGGAGACAACATAGAGAGAGATTTTGTCTTTAACCTTAAACACCTCATGGGTCATCTTCATTTTTCTTCTCATCCCTTTCATTTCCTTTTCTTAGATGGCGGCTGGCGAACATCTTCCTCCTCTTCCTCCTCATCATCGTCATCGTTGTCATCATCATCGTCATCATCGTCATCATTGTCATCATCATTGTCGTCACCATCATCATCATCATCATTGCTTCCTCCATTGCCATTGGCCTCGGGATCATCCTCTGGGTCAGCTTCTTCCTTTTCCTCCCCAGAGAAATCTTCATCACCTGCATCATCATCATCGTCGTCGTCGTCATCATCCTGGTCATCAGCTCCTTCCTCATCATCATCATCATCCTCAGTTTCACTGCCGTCTTTGTTTTCCTCGCCATGACGTTCCATCTTGTAAAGCTCCTCAAAAGGAAATCTACATAAAGGAAATCAGATCCAGATCGACCCAATTAGGTATAAGTATAGCTCTCGTTCCACGGACAATAGACTGAAACTGGGATCCCGAGGCACAGCAAGTTACCTCTGTTCTACAGCCGTCAAACCAGTCAGCAGAGATCCTGCCTGGAATCAGACAAGAACACATGTAAGTGAGGAATCATGTCACCAACAATGACTGATTACGATTCATTCCACACAATGTGCAAAAAGGATGGACAACGGTGAAAAAGAACCAAGTTGAATATGTAACCATCAAAATATACAGAGGCAGTATGGAATCACATTTAAACATGACAGTAAAAAACTAAACCACATCGGTGTAAATTGTTATAACCCCAATCCGCAATATGTTCAACGAAACATGTTACAAAGACACCTTGCCCGAAAGGGGACATAAAGCATAACAGGATAACTCAAGCAATACCATAGACGCGTCGACATAACAAGCGCATCTACATAACAAGAAAAGTGTGAATACGAAAGAAAGAAAAAAACAGGTCGAACTACAATTGCATGAAAGCAAAGAACAACATTTATGATTGATCAACTTGCAGTACAGAATAACCCAAAAAAGCAATGATAGGTAACAAAAAAGCAGAATAGGAAAATCGGCCCAAATCTCTAAACTGTTTAATTTGGTTAAGGCGACAATTTAATCGAGGGTTAAGCCTTACTCCCAATCGCAAACAGTATGTACTCACAACCAAGAACGACATGAACCGATTGGTGGGAATGACAAAAGCTAACCAGGAGATAGCAGTTAGGCCGAAAGGGTTGCAATGAAGATAGTTGACGTGTATATCGTAGCATAGAACTAGTTCGAGAATCGAAACTACGTAAAGATTTGATATTGCAAAAGATTGCCATAGAAGACGACGGTATTCAAACAACAGGAATCAAAACACAACCGAAACAGACAAAATTCATCGAAACATAGAGACGAACACATGGTAACCTCACTGGCCAATGTAGTGAAAGGGTTGAAATCAAAACAGAGCCATTTTCAAGCCGAATATAATACAAAGACATAAATCTCAAGCCAAGAAATCACAAATATGAATCCAGAGGAATGAAGTCGTGATGCAATTCACACAAAATAGATCCAAATAAACCAATAACCTTTTGTTATATTGATGCCAGAGCCATCTCGTCACTACAGTAACACAAGATAAAACCCTAATTTTCACTGAAATCACTATGATAACCACACAGACAATACCCTAAAAGGCTAAAACATAAAAACAAGAGTTCATACAAACGATTAATCTCCAATTTCAGAAACGCGAGAATTTGATGGAAGTGTTCTATACCACAAGGAGCAGACACGCTACAGTTCTGCCGACAATGATAACCGTCTCAGCGACCATGACTTCAGTTACAGAACAAGCCCATGTCTGCTTCTGGTTCCTCTCCACCGAGCTAACGACGGCGACCTCCATATCTACCGAAGAAAAAAGCTAAAAAAGCTACAAAAAACAATACACAGAGACAAAACCCCTAACCTCAGAACGAAAACTCCTACGGACCCAGAGATAGGGAGCGAGAGAGAGTGAAGAAGAACCTGAACAGGCTTACGGTCTGGATCCGGTCAAAGAGTAAACCCTAGGGTTGGTCCGATTAGGGTTTTTGTGGGGGAATTTGATACCGGCAGATTAGGGCTTGCTATGTCCAGAAAAGGAAAGGTGGATTTTTATCTGGTCTAGTGCATTGAATGTGGAGTGGAAGTAGTATAAAATGGTGTGGCAAATTTAAGTATTTTCAAAATTCCTCTCTATGATTAATTCATTTTATTCATTTTTTCACTATGTTTTTTTTTTAAAACAAGCAAGCCGCAAAATAATTGTGATTGGATAGTGACACGTTATCTATTTTTAGTGATGACGTTCGGCCTGTCTGCGTATGTGTATATGTGTATGTACATGGGTGAAACCATGAAATTGGATGGGTCTCATACCCATCCATGTAATTAAAAATATATATAATTTACTCATAAAGTTTAAAATTTTAATAAAAAATATAAAATACCCTCGTAACATTTTTCTTTTCTTTTTTTTGTAAAACTACTCTATAAGATTTGGATTTTTTCTCCTAATAATAAAATTTTCTGGATCTGTCAATATGTATGTATGTATGTATATATATATATATATATGTGTGTAACGTATGTATTATTTTTTTTTATTTTTATTAGTTTAATTAATCACGGTCGCTAAAATGACATGATTGTGACGACGTTTTTAAGTGCGTTTGATTAGGTGGATAAATTTGTTAATTTCTTAAACGCATGGCCAGTAAAAATAAATGTATAATTTACGGTTGGTTTTGGTTACATATGAATAATACATATTTTTAAACTAAATTATTTTTAAAATTAATTAAATTATTCAGACAAACTAAATATAAATGGGGTAACAGAAAAAAATTGATAAAAATGAAGATTTTTTAAGAAAATAATTTTTATAAAAATCAAAATTGAAAAGAATTTAAATTTGATAGAAAATGAATATAACAGACCATCCGCAGCAATAGTTAACATAATTTCCCTTGGTCCGATTTTTTTATACATATTGATCATATCGAATTGCTCTAATGTGAAATGGATTAGTGATAATTATGTTTTAAGCCATATTAAAATCAAAACAAGAATTCAACTTCGAAAATCTCATATCAAACATCAACATTTCTGTTTTGACTGTTTCTGTACGGAACTAATAAAGGCATCATGCTAACTTAGAAGATTTGAAGCAATATATAATACCGTAAAATATACATTTACATTTTTTTTTGTTCTCTTTGAAAATGGGCGTGGCAATTAGGGTTTCAAATAGTTGAAAACTAAAACATCAAAATAAATTTCTGTATACAAAATTTATATGTAATTCCTTGAAAAAAGAAATACTATCAAAGCATGAGAAACAAGCGAATGTATTATCTTGGAAACAGGTTTGAGGTTCAACACACTGAAAACTTAAGACCCCTCATGATCCACTTCCCCCAAATTGCTGGAACACTTGAACCAGTTCTCATTATTCCGACCACAATACAAAACATGCTATTATAGTACATTGAATTCTGATTTTCGATAAACCCAAAACAGGAAAAAAAAAACGAGGGTGGGAAAAGAAGATATCACCGCCAAGCCGTTTTCCGACAAGATGCAGTGGAGATTATTGTGAAGAAAGTGAAGCATTCCTTCAGATTGAAAAAGCTTTCATTGGCTCTTACGCTCCCACCATTCCAAGAACTTAACCTGAGCCGCCATTGTGTCCAATTTGTAGAGTTGCAGAGAGTGGTTCGCTATTTCGTGACCAAACGTCCACCCGAACACAGCTCCCGCGCCTAACGCCAGTGCAGCACCTACCGATATTACCGATGATACGAAAAATTAAGACAAGAGCAGAGAGAGAGAGAGAGAAGGAAAAAAACAAAACATTTCCCAAACTATTCAACTAGTGTCTGGTTCCAGTCTCATCCATTTTGGTCCTTTCACCAGTAAACAAGTTTTGCAAAGGATTAAACTGTTTTACCATGAGGGCTTCTTGAGTATTTCCAGGCGAAAGCACCAGTTGATACAGCGCCAAGAACACCTCCAACAGCACCATAGTTGGCTGCTTCCCTTGCTGTTTTCAGCTGGAATGGGTCAAAATATGTCAGCGCATTTTCCCACAGGACCCAAAGTGTTTATTTCTTACATTAAGGGCTCCAAGCAAATAGATAGAACACCACACTGTGAATGTCAAAAATAAACATGATATTTGTAGGCCAAAAGAAATCAGATGAACAGAAGAAGAGAGCACAATGGCAGTCCTACGAAGTTAACTCGGAAGAAAAGGTAAGTGACACATACAATACAGGTCGGATTTGCAAAGATCATGACAAAGTTAGGGGCCAAAAGGAGAGCATAGAAGAATTCAAACCCTCCTAGAAATAGATGAAACCCAATATCACTAATTCAATTAGAACTCTACAAATTCCTCATAAAATCATCAAACAACTTGAAATCAGTCTACGTGTGTGGCTCAAGATACGATGATTTAAGATGAAGTTTCATGGACAACAGTTGATTCAGGTCAGGGCACAGAATTTGCTCAAGTTTCATACAGATTAACCCTAGAAAAAGAAGATTAACTCCGATTCCAATAACCAAACAGCACATCCATTGCAGAGTAAACCAGAATATGCCATTTTGCGTGCACTGACAGAAATAGAACAACAGAATTCCAGTGTATGGAAATTATGAAGCAACTACTTGCAGATCCGACAGCCTTACAGTACAAGACGTTAGCGAGTGACGACAAATTTGAGATTGCTCGCTAATAAAAAGGAATCCAAATAGTGGCAATCCAACGGAGCAGATTCAAAGGAAACAATTGTGTCATAATCTGGAAACTTAACATAATGAGATTCCAATTCCAGAGATCAGGAAGGAATCTGCTTGTGTTCGCTTGGCATTCTACGGCAGGATTAGCCGGCTGAAAGTACATTCTACGGCAGGTCAAATGATTCTATCTCCAAAAAAAATTTGCAAGGAAGCAATGCCCGTGACAGAGACTAAACGGATTCGCTGTTTAGATTGGGAATGGAAGAGATTTCAAGTTCAAGTAAATGCCATTGATTCTCATTTGTCATTCAACACAGTGAAATGATAGGCGTAGAGAACAGATCAGTGAATTCACAGACATACAAACATAGACACCTCCAAAAGAAAAACAACAGGAAAAGAATCAATAATGATTCAAAGTGTATGTAGATTTCACAAGCCTATGCAACCCACGTTGTAACGATTGAAGATCAAATCAGAAACCGAACAAGAACCTATAAGCAGAGACATAGGCAAAAGGAAAAGAAGCAGCCAGACAAGATATAGGCATACACAGCCAATCGATGATTACTCACAGTTATAAGTATAGATCGATACACTGAATCAAACATATAACGGAGAATCCTAAACGCTTCATATGTCTCACACTCGGAGCATAAGCAACCACAGGACAACCAAACACCAATAAACATGAAAAGCGCAAATCGACAACTCTCCAGATTAGCATAAGCACATAACACATAACAACGAATCCACATCATGCAGAAAGAGAGAGAGAAAGAGAGAGAATACAGTGGGGCCATAAACAGGATCGGAGGCGATGAACTCCTCGACATCGGAGGAAGACCAAGAAGGGAGAGGCTTGTCGCGGTTGGTGAACCTCGAGTAGTTCTCGAGGAAAGAGAACCTATCAGCCCAGAACTCTTTCCACCCGTTCCAATGTTGCCGGAGAAAGGACTGGGACTCCGCCGCCGATGAGGATTCCGATTCCACCATTTTCGAGCTTCTTCTTTTCCTTCTTCACTCGCCGATTCCGAAATCTCCCTTCCGTTGCCCTTCGGAACTTTTCTTCGTCTCCCTAGGGCGAGCTGCACTGCTCTACGGCGCACATACATGCGGGTTGGTACGTCTGCCAATGATATTTCACCACGTGGAGAACTAATCGAAACTTTTCACAAACCCCTGGATATTATGATAAAGTTTCCAAAATGCCTCCTTCTATTAATGTTGTCAAATAAGTCCAATTAATTTTTTAAAAAAAATAATACAAAATATAGCATATGGTTTATGCAACTTGTGGCAATGATTTATCATTTTAATTTAACAAGGGGAAAAATTATCGATATTCGATTCGTTTCAGCTCAAATTCTTCGTTTATATTCTAATTTTCAACTCAATTTTTCTAATTCATTTAATCCGAACAGAAGGTACAAATATTGTATCCCAAATTGGAACTATACTTATTCTTTTTAATTTGATTATGTATATTAGGATGAATATTTCAGTTTTCAAAACTTTTAAACACTATATTCATCCAATATTTTCTAAAAAGGTTTCCGTTTTCATAGAAAATTTTCATTTATTTTTATATCCGATTTGAATTTGTTTTAAAGAAAATAATATCTAATAGATTTAAACGTAAAATTCGATTCAATATAACCATACAATTATTTGATTTGTTTCCGTATGGGATAACTAAATAGAAATTGTAGTGTGGCATTGAGTTCCTCTGCGATCACGCCAAAATGAGACGAAACGATGAGATTTTACAAGTTCAATCTCCAAAGGACATACGTCTCGTTTGGATCATCAGCAATGTGACATTCCAATGTAGGATGAGACTAGAAAGCGATCGTCGGTGCAAATGATATGGAGAAGGAACGACTCTCTGAGTATCACTAGACCAGAAGAATAAAGGAATGAATCAAACGCATCAAAAATTCAAAATGAGAGAGATTTAAGGATTGTATAGGTATCAGACTGCACAGTTAGAGATAACTTAAAAGAATTGATTGAACTACTTATACTAACTAACAATGTGCTCCTACATTTTTGTTTGTCTATTCTAAGAGAATTCTAAAATTAAGTGTGCTCGTTTTGCAACAATCTAAGGATGGATGATATATTTTCCTGTTTCTCGATATGAATACCAGTAAAGACAAAATACACTGAAAGATTTCGTGTTGGTGTGTGGGTAGTTTCTACATTTGGTAGCGACCTCGAGGCGGTATGGACAATCCATAGAACATAGAAAAAAAAAACTATCGGAAACAATCACGAGGCGGTGCTTCACAAACTAAATACTCGCAGACCAGGAACGGTCCAAAAACAACCAAAAGTACACTATACCCTTATCGACCAAGACACCGACTTACCTCAGCCACCGTCGTCGATTCCGAGCTCTATTGTCTCTCGAACCGCGTGTGTCAGAATGAAAAAGTCGAGGCATTCGGGTATGAACCCTAATCCTCCCTCCGAGTGAGAGTCTCTTCTCCGTCAATGGGTCCAAAAACCCCCAAAGGAAATACGAAACAAAAAATATTCTTACGTGAATATGCAAAGACATATTATCTTAAAAAGAAACAAAAATATTTGGACGACTCCACCATGTTACGTTTCTTTTTTCAATACGCGATACATTTTTTTTATTATTATTGGTGCAATGATGTTTAAATTGAAACAAAATACTATAATGTTTTGTTTGAAATGTTCTGTCCAATAAACAATAAGTGGGCAAATTTCCATTTTGGATCTCAATCCAATTCAATTCTACTCATTTGAGTTGGACTTTTTAAATGTATTTGAATTTTTTTTTTAATTTTGATTAACCCTACATGTTTTTATTATGTTGATCGGTTGGATAAAAATAAATTAATTAATTAAACATCAATATATGATTGCATCCTATCAAAAAATATATTATAATCGATATATGATATATCTATATGTAAATATAATCTTTTACAAACAAAATACTTGTTTAACCTTGTTAAGAAGACATATCATTATAAGAAAACAAATAAACACATTATTTATTTAATTTTTCACATATATATTAATGAATTATATTAAAATCATTTTTAATTTCTTTTGTAATAAGTAAATATTATGTTTAAATTTATGAAGATAGGTGAAAAATTTACATAAAAGTATCAAAAAAAATGCAAAGATAAAATAGTTATAATTGAGAGACAAACAATTATTATTAAATATTATTACTAGATTCTAATTAATTAAAAACGATAATAGACCAAATGGATTACAATTTAACTCAGAAATCTTCATAGATTGGATTTATAAAACCCAATTTATGATTTAGCTCAAAAAAATAAATACACATATAAATGTTATATGATTGATTTTTTGCCTGAATATTAATATTTGAATTTGAACTTTTTGTAAAGTATATTCTGTTTCAAACAACAAATCGATTAATTTAGCGAAAAGATAAAAGCAATAATGCCATCTTAGACCAATCCACAAATAGTTAAAGACAAAATATCATGGAGAATTGTAAATTTCGTTCCAAATTAATTATTCTCTTTCAGTGGTTTTATATTAATATTATATTATAAGCGAAATAGCTGTTACGTGAACTTTACATTGTTTTGATCTCGTGTGTTTCTCGAAGTTTATAAATTAGATATTAAAATAATTGTTTTCTTATATTGGATATAATATGACAAACAATTTTATATAAACAAATTATCGGTTGAATATATATTGTTGGATGATTATGTATAGAAAATATTTATGCACATCTAATCTACCGTATGATTAAAAAAAAGGTTTTTTATGAATTATAAATTTGAAAAAATCAGTAAATTTTGAAAATGTTTTTTTTATGTGAAAATGACGTCTAAAAATTATCTGTAACAAAAAAAAAGAAATCTGCATTGACAAGAGAAAATAAATCACAAATTCACAGCACACCTAAATAAAGTTTTAAGTTCGGAAAAATATGTAAATATTTTATATATGAATACACGTGGCAAAAAATGATTTCCATGGGGAAACAATTGATATATGTTTTCTTTGAATGAAAATGACAGAGACAAGTGACTGTTCGGACAGCGAATCAATGCTAAAATTTATATTTAAATATTAATATCATATCTTCAATATTTCACACACATTTTATATATAATTAGAAGAAGAAGAAAAAAAAAAAGAATTTGAAAGAGTTGACACACACGTCGTTCGTCTTAGACGCTTATTATTTTTACTAAAAAGATTTTATTAGAAAAAATAAAAATAATTATTATAAAAATATTTTTGTAAAATCAAAACGACTAAATTAATAAAAGATAATAAAAAATTAGATATTTTTATAAAAATAAAGATTTTTAATATCTGAACTTGATTCGTTTTCGATTTTGCCTAGATAGAGTAGAGGGTATATAGATTTGAATTTAAATATACAATAATAGAAGATAATTATATAATATACTTATAAATATTTGAGTCGATTCAAAATACGGCAACTAAATGTCACAACCACCATAAGAAAAACTGGATATCCAAAACTCACACGACATGGATACAACTACTAAACGAGTGTTTTTATTGAAGAAGTGAATATTAGTCTACATTAATTGTGTAATTATCTTATCTTAATCACGACATTAGCATTCAGTTTCAAAATTTCTTCACTAATTGAGAACCGGATATTAACCTTTAGACATTTGTTGTTGATTTATTTGTTTTATTAAATTATTATTGTTTCCGGTATTTAAGTTTAAGGTATAGCAATAGATTACTGTTTTTTGTTTTAGAAATTAAATTCTATATTGGTGAATAAAATCTAAAACTAAAAGATTTCTAATAAATTGGTTGTTTTGACTTAGGTGTCATGCAGTAATTTTCAGTTGTACTACTGTTTTTTTTTTACATTATATTACAATATTTCACATTGAAAATCACAAAAAAAAGTAAAAAATTGTTTTCTTTGGAGTAAATTTAGCAGATAATTCCAAGATGCCCCTTTGTCGACGAACACATCGAACAAAGTCTATGATAGATTGGTTTTTGTTTTTTTATTTTGTTCTTTTGGCACTGTCCATGTGGTTTTCCCTTTGCACACGGTGGATAATTGGAGGAGGAATGTTGTAACCACATGTCACATACATACATACATACATACATACATACATACATACATACATACATACATACATACATACATACATACATACATACATACATACATACATACATACATGATTGTTTTTTGTTTATTGGCACTATCCATGTGTGTATATATGACATTACAATACATATGTGTATATATATATATATATATGTTTGTTTACACGGTTTCTGCAAGATTAGGTCAGAATTTATTTGTTTAAATAGCTATAATAAGATGTAACATGTATATATGGGACTCCAAAACACAAAGTATTGTTTTATGTCACTATCAAGTAAAACTTATTGTCAAAATTAGATCATAGAAAAAAAAGTATTTCTAGAATTTATTTCAGTTTTTAATAATAAAAAATTAGACGGTGATCTTACGAGTAGTTTTTTTTTAACTAGTATTTTTATTTTAAATTTAAATTTGATTCAAAAGTTTATTTAGGTTGGTTTTATTTAAAAAATTATTTATTTTTTATAAAGTTTTTTTTTCGATTTTTTTTTACTTAATTAGGATTCGATTCTGTATCAAATTCTATTTGAAGTTGTGATTGTGGCCAATTATAATTTAAATATAATGATGTCTTGTCAGATTCGGTTCAATATAATTTTTAAATTCCTTGCAAATCTATGAGATTTTATCTAGAAATGTAAAATCCAAATTTCGTAAATTAGAGATCAAGGATTTGTGATAATTAAATACCACCCACCAAATTTACCGATGTGAGATAACATCATTACACGGACCAAATACATAATTGAAAAAAAAAAAATCTTTGTCACATCCAACAACTCTATTTTCAAAGATAATTATTTGTAAAGCTAAGGCTTTTGTGACACGTGACAACAACCATGTTAGGAATATCACAAGAATAATCCCGCTAATTAAAAGACAAAAATAATTATTATTTTTATATAAAGCTGTTTAATTTTGGGAATAAACCGAGAATTATTTTCCACCATAGAAGAAAATTATTTCTTTTTTAAAAATGCGATTAACATGGTGGTGTCACGCTAAAGAAGAATAAAAAGGAAGTATCTTTGATGGGTAGTGAAATACTTTGGAAATGGGCAAAAGGAAAAAAAAAAAGGAAGAAATCATCAAAAGGTAAAAAAAAAAAAAATCTTTGGGAGTTATGAATATGCCGACATTTCGAGGAAGAGAACCGCGTCGGGCAAAGGGTCTCTAAACACAAATAAAATCCCGAAATCATCTTCTCAAACGTCAGTCACAGCCATTCTCTCTCTCTCTCTCTCCCGGTCTCGATCAAAACAGGAACATTGAACATTGAGGCCACACAAAAAGAGAAAACAGATCATAGAGCATCGAAGGACAGGAGAAACCAGACGCATTATGTTATGTCGGAGATCCAAAAGTGCGTTTTTGCTTCTGGGTTTTCTATTTTCTTTCCTTCTCATCGTCTCTCAGGCCACTGGGACATCGACTTCAGGTATGAGTCAGTCACATTTTGATACTCTGTTTTTGCCCCTTTTCAAATCTATACTTGCTTTTCCCCCCCATTTTTGTTTGTGTTCTAAGAATTTATATCTGAATAATGTTTCTGGGTTTCTTCTGGTAAGAATTGTTTTTCATCAGCTTGTTCTTTGGGTTGTTGTAGATCGGTTCCTCTATGATCAAATCGCACTGAGAAAGATGAAGACTTTTATCAGAATTAAGTTTTTTTTTTGGCGATTTAATTTCTTTCTTTAACTCTGGATTATTTTAGGGGTTGGTGAAGATGGTGCAGTTCCATGGAGGAGAGATGTTGTAGAGAGGGCTCTCGCGGAGGAAAACGGAGATAATTCATCTCTGATTTTGGCTGCAAAAAGGACAAGAAGAAAAGACCCTCTTGAGAATTTCAAGCTCTACAATGGTGGATGGAACATTAGCAACCAACATTACTGGGCTGTGAGTGTTTTTTTTTTTTAAGTTTTGTCGCTGAGATTATGTTTTGAGCATTTTTCCTTGATGGGTTTTTGTTTATGTTCATCTTGAAGTCTTGGATTCTGATTTCCTAATTAAAGTTTCAATCCTTACCATTAAAACTTTGTGGTTGAGATTATGTTATGAGCATTTTTGTTGATGGGTTTTTGTTTATGTTCATCTTGAAGTCTTGGATTCTGATATCCTAATTAAAGCTTCAATCTTTACCATTAAAAACTTTGACGGAGTAGAATTTGACAGTCCCTAGTTGAAGTTATATTTGAAATCTCTCACTCATGAGCCTTGAATAGATTTTTTATTTTTTGGAACCAATGGATGAAAAGGGGTTTGGTTAGTTTCTTAGTTCTCGTTGTTGGCAATGAATCTTCAAGGTTCTGAATGATACTTATAACACCTGAAATCAATATCTGGTCCCCAATACCTGAATTATCAGTAGAAGTTCTTGTGATTTCACTATGATTTACACGTCTCTCTATTGCCCGTTTTCGATAAATTTGCGATCTTTATCTAAATTTCATCAGGAATGGATCCAAGTGTTGACCTTTGTTCATAACCATTTGTTGCAATGCAGTCTGTTGCTTTTACAGCGGCGCCATTCTTTGTAATATCGGCTGTCTGGTTCGTGCTTTTCGGGCTGTCTCTGTGTCTGATGTGCTTTTGTTATTGCTGTTGCCCTCGTGAACCTTACGGCTATTCCCGCCTCGCTTATGCTCTCTCCCTCGTTTTCCTCATACTCTTCACCATTGCTGCAATGTAAAATTTTCATTCATCCCCTTTCCCTATCCTTATTTCTTGAATTGCTACTCGGTAATTGATAATTTTGTTGTGATATTGGTTTTTGTGTTCTTCATGCTCAGTGTTGGCTGTGCTTTCCTATATACGGGCCAAGGAAAATTCCATGCCAGTACAACGGATACGTTGGATTACGTCGTGAGGCAAGCTAATCTCACGGCGGAAAACCTCAGGAATGTGTCAGATTATCTAAGTGCGGCCAAAAGGGTCGATGTGGAATCGAACTTTTTGCCGGGGAATGTTCAATCCAGCATCGACGATATACAGAGGAAGATCGATTCTTCTGCCACAACTCTTTCTAACAAAACCATGGAGAATCAAGACAAAATCCAAAGCGGCTTGGATACCATGTAATAGCTCGGCGTATTTTCCATGTTTTTTTTTTCATCCTTTGTCTCGGCTTATGATTTTCTTTTCTTCTGCTTCAGGAGACTTGCTCTCATCATCATTGCTGCTGTGATGCTCTTCCTTGCTTTTATTGGATTTGGTGAGTCATCTTCTTGTTCATTATCTATGTATTCAAGATTCCTCGAGATCGGTGTTTTCTACCATTGCTAACGATTCTCATTGTGATTTGCAGTATTGTCTATCTTTGGATTGCAATGCCTTGTATACACGTAAGTGAATTTTCGTTTTTTATCGGTCTTATTATATGCTACTTTCATTACCGGGATCGGAAATTTGTTCATCTGCTTGGCTTGGTTACACATCTGATTGATATTGGCATGGCAGGCTTGTGATTCTTGGTTGGATCCTCGTCACGGTTACATTCATCTTGTGCGGTGTATTCCTTCTCCTCCACAAGTGAGTTTTCATCAATTCCTGGAACACTTTTTTACGCATCTGTGCCCGTAAATCTTTCGATATCACGTTCTTCTTTCACCTGAGTTTTTCGCTGTACTCAAAACCCTTTTGTCTTGTACTTTTCAGCGTGGTTGCAGATACATGCGTTGCAATGGACCAGTGGGTCCAACACCCTACAGCTCACACGGCTCTGGACGATATTCTTCCGTGCGTTGATAATGCTACTGCAAAAGAGACATTGGATAAGACAAAGCTCGTGACTTTCCAGCTCGTGAACCTAGTCGACACTGTCATCAGCACCATATCAAATAGAAACCTGCCGCCTCAAGCCAAACCCTTATACTTCAACCAATCTGGCCCTCTCATGCCTCTTCTCTGCAACCCCTTTAACTCCGATCTCTCCAACAGGCAATGCAAACCCGGCGAGGTCGGTCTGAACAATGCCACGGAGGTAAAAAACCCTCGGGATCACTCCTCCCTATACCGTAAAAATCTAGCATCTCAAAAGGGGCATGCTCGGATTTGAAAACCCGACACAAAAGTCTCTCAAGTTTGCAACTTTATGAACCGAAAACCTCATTTGGCAAATGGGTTTTTCCTTTTTTTGCTTGTTCATCAGGTATGGAAGAACTACACTTGCCAGATCAATACACCAGGGACGTGCGCTACAACTGGTCGTGTAACCCCAAAGCTCTACAACCAGATGGCTGCAGCTGTTAACATAAGCTATGGCTTATACCGGTATGGTCCGTTCTTGGTAGATTTGCAGGACTGTGACTTTGTCAGATCTACATTTACGGACATACACAGAGATCATTGCCCGGGTCTCGGAAGGTACACGCAATGGATCTACATTGGTCTGGTCTTAGTGTCTGCAGCTGTGATGCTGTCTCTCGTGTTCTGGGTGATATATGCACGCGAAAGGAGGCATCGGGTTTACACAAAGGATTACAATGCCCGACATCCGGGTGATCTTCGGGAAAAGTGAGCGTTTTAAGAGAATGTCGGATAGGGTTCTTCGGGTTTTAACCGTATAGATTTTTTTCGGGGTTAGTGTACATTTCTTCTGGTTGGAAGCCTTGTGTTTGTGTGCAGTATGTGATGAAACTTGTGATTGTTTTGGTTTAGTTTGAGAACCAAAGTGACTATGTCTGGTTTTTGTTGAAGGATATATGACTAAGGGGTGGAATTTTTTATATTTCATTGTTTGAAAGAAGGCGCTCTTTTTAAGTCCATTTATCATGATTTCCGATCAAGATTAGTAAGTAAAAGAATAATGATTCGGTACGGTTTATTCGGTTACAGATAATTTAGAATTGGTTGTTTCAAATTTTAAAAATTCATTACCAAACGGTTATTTGATTTTAATAATTTATGTTTGGTTCGTTTTGATTATGTCTAATTAAAATTGTAGTGGAATTAAATTTCGGTTAAGTTATAATAATAAATGAAACAAATTTGGGAATATTGTTGAATTTTTTTTAAAGATCTCTGTTATATATCATAGTTATAAAACAATTTTATTATGTTATTTTTTTAAATTATATATATTAATCGGTGATGCATAGATTAGGAAAACGGTTATATTCGGTTTATTTGGTTATGGTTAATTCAAATTTGGTTTATTCGATCTATGGATAATTCAAGTGTAATTATTTTATATCTCGAAAAAAACGGTTATTTAATTCTAATCCATTTCATTCGTAAATTAATCGACCGGGTTCGGTTTTTAAATAACCGAACCATTTGCCCATGCGCAGAATTGTCGATAAATATGCACATAAAGTTCATGAGTTCTACCTTGTTGCTTTACCCATCGAGAACTAAAACATAAATAATAATATAATAATATATTTGCTGAAAATCGAAATGCCAAACCGCTGTGACCATAACTTGAAAAGCAAAAGGGCCGGTATGGGCCGCATGGACAAACAGACCGAATTATTTAAAAAGAAAAATAATAAAATATTTTATTATATATTTTTCCCTTTTTAGTATTTACAAATTTCAACCACAATATTTAACTAATAATAAATAAATAAATATTTTATGATCAATTTTACAAAAATTAAAATTTGATATTCAAAATGTAATATATTATTTTTTTTAAAACTATATATATATAATGACACATTATGTCAATTTTATTATTCTACATAAAAATTGACTGATTTGGAAACTATAAAAACTTAGTGGGATTTGTTTCAAATTTCTTCCAAGGACTATTTTGAGAATATCAATAATAAAGGACCTCATGCTGTTTGAACACTCAAAAGTGACTAAAAAACCTTTTCTTTAAATGAGCATTCGGCCAACAAAATTCAAAACCGAACTAGATTCAATATAAAAATCAAAACGGTTATAATCATTTTAAAATTAAAATAATCAGACTTGAATATAATCGAATCGAATCCAAATCAAAACTTGAATAACCCACCACTATTCAAAACCTTTATTTAAAATTATTGTTTAGTTTGAGTTCAAACATATTATGATTTTATGGTCGAAAATTGATCCTAACAAAGTTTGTAACCTATAGTAAATATTTTTTTTATTAATTTTTTAAGCCATTTTGGTCAATAACTTGTGAGTTTGAATATAAATACATATATATACACGTTTGTCATCTACTTTTTATTTTTATTCATTTTTTTAAATATTATGGTTAATAATTTGTGACTTTGAAAAAACATATATATATATATATATTAAAAAAATCTAACCGTTAATTATGTTCCCTTCAAAATTTATATATGAAAAATATCTAATCTTAAGTACCAATGCAATTTTGTAAATTATATTTCAGTTGAATGTAATTTATGTCAAACCAAAGTTAATCAAACCCATTTGTATCATATTAACTCATGTTTATAGCGATCATTTTCATTTAATTTAGATTTTGGATCGAAATAAAGTTGACCAAAAACTCAACCATCTATCCCTCTTCAATGCACACAAGGATTAATTTACATTTGGTAATGTTTGTCCACCGAATCCATATAATCACATTTACATAAAAATAAAGGGTCCAACCCAACATCAAACTCCAACTCGAACATAATTAAAAGGTAAATGAAGAATTTACACACAGACATATATATACACATATATACACACACATACATTCTCCATGAATGTTCCGAAGATGGAAGGTCAAAATTAACCTCCAAATACGTTGGAGAATTGACCGTTGACTTGACCAGTTAAAATCATGGGACAGATGTAAGGACAGCCTCCAAAGATGAAAGAGTTCAGTCACCGTTGACTTTGAAATCTACCAATACCATGTCCCATACACGATTACGCAATGTCTAAGTTGTTTGCTTGACTTGGTCAAAATGGCATTTGTCATTAGAAAATGTAACAATTATATGATAGATTATATTAGTCATTATATATATATATATGTAATGTTGTCAGTGTTAGGACTTTGGGATGCACTTGTTAATAATTAGATGGACCATGTCGATGATTTTAGTCACAAAGCTATAAATGTTTTGAATTTCTCTTCTTCTCATGGAATTAAATGCTTTTTGAAATTATGTCGCGTTATATTTATTTATTGTCACATCATATGAAAATTTGCAATGCCAAATTTCGAAACTATATCATGTTATTTTATTTTTAGTTTGTAGGGCTTCTTGTACTCATTGCTATTGATGTTATTTACAAAAGTTTTCGTGCTTTTATTTCTCAAATATAAAATTTCGTATATTTCTATAAAGATTAATACATTTTTTAAGACAAAACACCCAAGCATTCTTTAGCTTTCAACAAACTTTTCATTGTACATATCACAAAATAATAAAGATTGACCTATTTGCAGTGCCCTCGAAATTGTGTTTGACAATTTCCAATATGTCACATTTAAATAATGCGAATATATTTTATGGTGTTAGAATGTTGACATCTATCTTTGATAATGTATATCGAATATATAAAACTCGAGAGATAAAAATTGACTAAAACTATATTGTACATGTCATTTGGATATACACTTAAAGATATATCATTTATATCTAATAAAATTTAAATTTAAAAAAAGTTGAAATAAAACAATTCATTTTAATTTAATTTATTTTTTTCCTTTGAGCTTAGATTCATCAAAAAAGTTGGAAGAAATCAATTAATCATCCCAATTAAATTATCAGAATGAGGTGAATCTTTTGTCTCCTGAAAATCTTACAACTAATTGAATTTTGGGTTAAAAATTAATATTTTTAGTCTAACTTTATAGAATGCTCTGGATATAACCAGAACAAAGAAATAAGTTTAAGATTTTATGGAAAATTTTCAACCATAGAAAAGCTCAAAATTTAAAAGAAAAATATTCTCAAATTATCTAAAATCTTCGAGCAAGAGACCCACATCATTATCCTCACGTATTGGCATGTGGCACATTTGTGTTCGCGGTACTTGGTCTAATAGATTCTTCTTAGATTTTAATTTTTTAGGTTAATGCTGACTATTTTAATATATATTTGTTGAATTCAAATTAAAAAAAATGTATAAAAATTAATTCAAATTGAAAAAACTTATTGGATAGAATATTTTTAAAATTAAAGAATCTAATGTAAATAATATTTAAAAATTTTAAATGATAAATAAAATATTCTTATAAAAATATTTTTAAATGAAAAATGAATTTAGAGAATAATGATACGGTTTAAATCGAATAAAAATTAAATATACATTTAAATAAATGTAATATTTTAAAATAAAAATATTGAATGGATTAATAATAGAATTATAAAGTTAGAAATTTAGAAATCTAACATATTTATTTGGGTAAATCTCTCAAAATTTCTAAACTTATAAAATGGTGAAAAATTAATTCTTAACTTTTTGTTTGACAAACTTTTTTTTTCAAATTTAAAAAATATATTATTATAATTTTCAAACTTTTTTTTATAATTAGGATGGTTTTCCGAGCCTTCGTCCCGACTATATCCACCTTAGGTTCGGGACCAACCTTTGTATATGGACCATTTTAGTCCAGAAATTACATCTCTCCCAGCACTGGAATTGAACCCATGAATTTGAAGGTGACTTTGTCACATCCCAACCACTAGACCACCAATTGTTAGGTTATAATTTTCAAACTTATTTATTGATACTAGAAGAAACAATGTTACTCCATAAATTTGTTTGATAATTATAATAATATATTTTGTAAAATTGAAAATTATAATGACACATTTTGCAAGTTTAAGAATAAATTTTTCAAATAAAAAATTTTAAAATTTTTTTCACCTTTTATAAGTTCAGAAATTTTAATAGGTTTTACTCTATTTATCTCTTTTATAAATATGTTTTGTAATTTTAAAATAATATTGGGACAACAAAAAAGTATGGGCCTCTTTGATTCGGAAACAAGAAATTCAAAAGATGGATAGACAAACATGAACAGTCTCTCGATGAACTATCATCATAACATTGATTAAATATCCAATAATATAATGTCGAATACGAGATAAGGTACGATGTGGCAAAAAGCACAAAGTATTATATTATAATAATTAAAATCGAACATATTATACATGAACCGATCTAATTCAAATAATGCATGGATGCATGCATTGTATATATAATAATGATTTAAATAGAACATGTATAAGTGAATCGATCTAATTCAAATAAATGCATTATACTATAATGATTTAAATAGAACATGCATGCTACATATGATTAGTCTTAATTCCACGCGACGGTCCATTGCAATTATTGAGATTTTCCCGTTAGTGCACAAGATCCTTTTGTTGATTCGGTTCTCTATGTTTCAGATTTTTAAATATGAGTATTCTAACCAATTAATCACATATATTGTATTATAACAAAAAAAAACATGTTCATCGGAACAAAAAATTATTTCGATCACAAAAACATACCATGAAAATTTATAAATAACTTAAATTTAACATCAACAAAATAATAAAAAAATAATACACTATTTTTTTCAAATGCGAAGAAGTTGATGCCGTATAAAGAATTGGGCATTTGATCTATTTCATATTGAACCAATCCATTAATTAATTTTTTATCACACATGAAAAAAAAAACTAATGATTGACTTAAATAATATAAGATTATCTAAGAGTTGTTTTTTGATCGGTAGTTCATTTTAAATCCTAGTTTTATATATTTTTTTAAAATTAAATATATTGTTTTTCTTTATTTTTTATATTTATACTTGGAATTTATCAAATTTCTTATACGCATAATTTCAATGATCTTGAAGGTGAAGATTCCTTGTCGCGCCTAATTACACACATCATAGGATACAATGAAGGATCGAGTCGACAACTTAACATGGGGAGACAAAACTCATATTATATGTCCGTTTGGACGTTGTCTCTAATAATTCCATCTGTATTTAATTTCTATAAAAAAAATAATATATTCCCCATTTTTTTTTAGCCAACAGTTGGACCCATAACGTAAAAATCTGTCAATAAACTATTGGCCGAACACTGGCCATTTATAAATTTTATGTATTAGACTAACGTCAAATAAAATATTCGATCATAATTAATAATAATAAAAATAATAATAATTAATATTTATTAATAATAATCTATGCCGCTGATTTGATTTCGGCAACACGTGTCGGCTCGTCACCTTATCTTAGTCTTGCAAATGCGAACCAATGAAATTAAATTTTTACCAAACTTTAGGGAAAAAAAATTGTTTATTTAAAGGCTGTATTGTGAATCTATGGTACGAGTTGTATTGTGTGAACCCCACGAGTTTGGAACCCGCCTCATCAACTTTATTCACTTCTGTAAATTCAAGTTGTAAATATTATTTAAACATATATATATATATATATATATATATATATATAATATGTATGAATATTTATAGAATCTAGAAATTAGGGGCGGATACGGGTGGCTATCCGGACTTTTTAAGGTATCCTTATCTCGGTCTCGATTTTTCGTCGGATTTTCGATTATAATATTTCAGTCTCTATATCACGAAATCCGTGTATCCAAAATTCGGATACCTATGATATGAGATCGGATATATACGACATAATCTGTGACGAAATTTTCAAACTCAAATTTGCCGTCTGATGGGACCAATCTCTATCTCATTGATTCACGGATAATAAATTCCGGATACCGTGAGATAGAATACTCGAAAACCCACGGATTTCGGATGAAAATATCTACCCCGCTAAAAACCCATTCAACATATGATATTTTCTAATTTTTAATTTAGGTATGGATTTTAACTTCCTGAAACCGTAACATATAGAATTTGAATCTAGTTATATCAAACGATATTAGTATTTTAATATTTTTTTAGAATGATCAAGTTCTGTGTACTATTTCAATATATAATGCTTAAGCCATTTTTTTTTTCAAATACAATTTCTTGTTGTGAAAGTTTTTAGTAAATATTAATCAAGAAGATTTATCAATTATAATTTTTCTTTTGAGATAGATATTCCTGGTTTTTTAAAAATATTTTATCTAACTTTCATTTTAAAATCCCAATTTGAATGAGATTTTTCTAAAAGTATTATTTTTAAAAACTTTTCTTAATTTAATTTTTAATTATATCCTTTTCGTATGGCTGACGATTTCCAAGCCCATATGCCTAATGGTGACACTTGGTTATATAGGATCACACGTGGCAATTGGGCGTATTATGATGTCCAACGGTTTCGTCTCGCCCAAGACGATAGGTTTCACCAAAACCACCGGCCGCTTTTTGGTTTCCTCTCTCCATCATGTTCCTAATCGAATCATTTTTTTTTTACATTCTAGAATTAAAAAATCATTACCATAATAAATTAATTTTAAATTAATATTAAATTAAAAAAAAAAATAGAAGGATTACATCTAAGTTGTGTGGCCACTAAACCACCTTTTACTTGGAAAACCTCTTAATATGTCAAAATATATGGTAAGTTTATTTGATAAAATTAAAATTATATTTTTTTGGGAATTAATTTGGATGTAAATTTGTGGTTTACATCAAAAATTGAAAACAATCACCGCCACCGCCAAAGAAGATAATTTCTAAATTGGCAAATATCAGATAATATAATAAAAAATGTACATAAATTATCTGTGTATAATTCTCGTCACACGTGGCAAGTGGTTCAACGTTTTTGTTTTTGTTTTTGCCAAAAAATTGTTTTATATACCTCTTTTAATTTATTTTTTTGTTGGAGATGTTTAATATTATGGTTCAGGTCCTTTAAGAAAGGGAATAAGCAAAATTGTGCCCATAGCTTTCTGTGAAACCGTTTGATCCCAACTGACGTCCTAAATATTAACTAACCCGACCAAGACCCAACCCTACTTCTCTCTAGTTAGTTCAAATGTTTTCAAATTCGGTTTTGCTACCCATAACTTTTGTTTTCTTGCATTTTTACCCCTACGTTTTATTCTTATATTTCATAGCTATGAAGAGAGATATAAAATAATTTTTTATCTACATAAAAACTATTTTTTATGATCTAATTATGTTATATAAGTATTCTTTAATGATATTATAAATTATTCTATATAATCTATAAGTTTATAAAATTTTAAAATATAGTTAAAATCCGTTAGATTTGGATATCCGTGTTTATTCGAAAATTATTTCGTAAATAATATATTTCGAATATTAAAAAAATTGTGTTTGAGTTCAAATTTTAAAATACATAATCGGTCGGATCTGAATTCGAATTTAAATATCTTTAAAAATCGTAGGTATCCGATATACATCACCCGTATCACCACTTTTGTCCGTAACATCCATAAAATAATATTTCTTTAATCATTTAATTTATATTAAATTCCAGATTTTTTATAACAAAAAATAACCCAACATAGTAGATACATACATGTATTTTCTTCTCCCATTTAAGTACATAGTACTTTTCTTCTCACATTCTATTAAAAAAATGATGTGTTATTTCCCTATTCTCTAAAAAATAGATTTTACTTTCTTTTTAATCTGAAAAAAGATATATAAAATATAAATAGATAAGCTCAAATAAAACTATCTAACTATTTTATTTACATAAAAATATTTATACTCTAAATTTATTTTATAAAACTAATCAATTATTAATTTTAAACTAAAGACAACAAACTATATCATTTATTTAAAAACAATCTTTCATTTTAAATTTATACAAAAATTCACCAACTATATTAGTTTTGAAAAAAAAAATCATCAACTATTTAAATTTATACATAAATTAAATCTATATTATAGAAAATATAATTTATATATAATTATGTAAGAGGTATTATGTATTTTAAAATAAAATAAAATTATGGTTTATTTTGTTTAAAATTATAGATTGATGGGTTTTTTATAATAAATTTAACATAATTTTTTAAAAATATATAGTTATTTATTGTGATAATGAGAATTGTATCATATATATATAATTTATAAAATTTTATAATAAATGTAAAATAAAATATTTTTTTAATAATTTAGATAGTTGATGATTTTTTTCAAAAGTAATAATTATTAATTCATATAACGAATTTAAATTAAATATGTTTAAGTAAGTTATATATTTTATTATTTTTTTAAATAATATTTGATGAATTTTTATAGATAGTTTAAAGTATAAAAGTTTTTCTGTGCAAACAATATAATTAAGTTTTTAGTTTGTAAAACGAAAAGGAGTGGGACCGATATGTTGACTAATTGAGGAAATTCTAAAACTTATGGGGCACAAAAGCAAATTATTAAAAGTAGTATATCTAGAGAGAGAAAAATATCCGAGATTCCGACTTTACCCTTCTCGACCAATCGCTCCTATAAATGACGAGGGCTGAGTGAAGCCAGGTTTGCCAAAACGAACAGCCAAACACGCCTTCGAGAAGAAGAAGATAAAAAGAAAAAAAAAACTTCACTAAAAAAAAGCAGAAGAGAAAAAAAAACGAAGAAGAAGAAAAGGAGAACAAAAATGGCGGCGACTTCTAGAAAAAGCAGCGGACCAGTGCTCCGTTCACTCTCTCCCTCCGGAAGATTCTGTTACAGTTCTCACGTGCCGTCGCCGATGCCGATGCCGCGGCCTTCCGCCACTGCCTTCGCCTCCTCCACCTCAAGCTTTACCTCTCGCTCCTCCACCTTCTTCCACCGGAGACCCGCCCCTCCACCTCGCTACGCCGCAGCATCATCATCCGCCGCAACCGTAAGATTCTCCATCGACCGTCCGACGTCTCCCGGCCGGTCGATCTCCGCCGTCGGCCACTCACCGCGCACCGCTGGCCAGATCGTCCGGAACCAGATACCTTCACAGCAGAAGCGTACCTGTATGTGCTCCCCGACGAACCACCCTGGATCCTTCCGCTGCAGTCTCCACAAGGCGGCGGCGGCGCGTGGATCTCACGCGCCGTCAAGTTACTCGCCGAATAACCGCCTTCACGCGCGGAGATCGGCCATGACGAACTCGTTGGTGCGGATCTGTGGGGTAGAGGGAGATCTGGTGAAACGAGCACTCGCGGCACTCATCCGGCCGTCGTCGCACCAGCAGCGCCGCCGCGCAGATTTCCGGCCACGGCAGAGTCGCCTCTCCGTTATGTCAAAGGCCGATGAATCCTGCTCATGATATTCACCGGCGACGATGACATCGTCATCCCGGTGTTTTTTGAAATCTCCGGCGACTGTGAAATTGACGAATTTCTTTTAAAATTCTATAGATAACCGCGTGTGGGTGTATATATATAGACGAGGAATATAGAACATGATTTGCTCCGACGGCGAATCTGTGGTACAAATCGAAATGATGACAAAAAATTCGAATTTTGCAATTTTCTCAGAATCAAAATCATTGATGAATTTATAAAAAAACAGATGTCGAAATTGAAGAACGAATTCTTCAAATCCATGGAACAATTTGTTGAAGGCGTCTGTGTTCGTCGTCTCCGTCTGTTTTTCCGTTTTCCGTCGTCTTTTCCGTCCGTTTTAACGTTTCCCGTCCGTTTTAACGTTTTTCCGTCGTCGTCTTCGTTTTGTAGGTGTACGTGCTCTCCTGCGTTGGGTAGCGTCGATCTCTCCTCCGGTACGTTTGAGCTGTTTAACTTTTATCTGATTAAGTCATTAATTAAGTTGATTTTGTTTAATTAATTTGAGTTTTTTGTTAACTGTTAATTGAATTTGCAGGTTTAATGAAGGAAATCACAAGATTCTGATTCTGCGAACCTAAATTGTTGAACTCTATAAATTACGTTAATGATCACTAATGACCGTGTTCGAGATTTCCAACAATGGAGGAGGATTGGGACTGATATATCCCGCAAAAAGAAAAGTAAAAGAAGCTTATATTTCGATAATTAATTTTAAAAAAAAAGAATAATTATATGAACTTACGGGGCAAAAAATCGAGAGATATAGTCGAGATTTATCTAAAGATAATTCATTTTAATCCGAATTAAAGGACAAAATAATTCGAATCAAATTAACAGTCGGCCTTCATTAAATGTGGACAGCCGACTTGTCACACTCTATCCTTAAGTAAGCAAAATTGTATGACAAAATAGACCCACCAAATGTCAATCATAATGTGTTGTTAATTGGCTTTTGTCGAGCGATGAATGCGCTCTGCTTTGTCCCCATAACACCAAAGTGTAAAGACAGATCTCTACTACTCATGGTTCGGCAAGATAAACCCTAATTACGACTCACAATTTGGATATACAAAAAAAAAATTCAATATTACAAATTTGTGTTCGATGTTGACGTGGATTCGACTTTCGGCTTTGGATTTTTTTTAAAAAAATTTTGGTAAAAGGTAGCCCAAAATAGAGATTGAATTCGGGCGGGATGACATTTTACACATTTACCTTACCTCTTCACTAGGATTTGGATATTAGACAGTGAGTCTATGATTTCGGATAGTGTTAGGGCTATAATTAGTATTTGATCGTCTCGATATCTCGCCTTTGTATAGGGGTGGGCAAAATTATCCAATTTCGGGTATCATCCCGATTCGAAAGTCGGATATCCGAAAATCGGATAATAAGATACAGATCAAGTTTAAATGTCTAAAATCCAAAATTCAAGTTAAGATTCAGTTTAATATTTTCATGTTCGGATAATTATTTGTGAATATCCGAATAATAGAAAAATAACTATTATACCCTTTATTTATTAGAAAATTACAAAGATACATATTAATGATCTAATTATTTTTATGTAAAAAATTATCATTTTGTGATCTAGTTATTTTGGATATAAATTTTTTTCAAAGGTTTTATAAATTATCAGTATGTAATCTATAGATTTATGAATTTTTAATCAAAATATGTTTAAAATTCGTCAGATTCGATGAATATCCGCAAATATTTTATCTCGTAGATAGTATAATTCGGATACACAAAAATTCGAATTTTGATCAATTCAAATGAAAAATCTCGAATATCGAACACTGCTACCTTTGCCTCTCAATTTTTCTTCAAATTATGGTTGTAAAATATTATAATATCTCAATATCGGATTTGGAGTTTGAATACACTAAAATTTCGGTATAATGTTTCACTATCGCCGTTTAATAATATGCCTTTTTGTAGAAGGTTTCTCTATCGAAACCAGTTGTCTATATATATATTCTTTCGAGTTTGATTGTGATTTCGACCCCATAGTATGTTGGCCCGACTAATTATAAAAGAATTTATGTTTTAACGATAATGATATTTCTATGAAATCTCTCGAATTTTGTATATTTCACGAAGGATAATATATTTGGGGTTTTTTTTAATGACTCCAAAACCATATAAATTTAGAACTTTAATCATTCGAAAACCCGCCAATCAGTCCGTCTATCATATTTTTACTAACAACTGGTCGTGT